AAAAAAAAAAAAAAGGAAAGCTGACAAGTCAACATTCGAGCTAAAAATTTATTATGACTCATTGTCTGTAAGAGCTTTAGGTGGTCCCTAAGAACCTTTTATCAAAAATGATTTCAGAAGAATGCAGGGCAAAGCTCAGAAACATACCTTGTCAAAGTGATCTGGAAGGACGAATAGCCAGCAATGAACGTGGCCAACCTCGTCAAGCTCTGCTTTCCGGAACCGCCCACCCCGACAAGGAGGGCATGGCCTCTGGGAGTACGAAGAACTCGAGAGATCTATAAGATGGCATAAAACAGGCATGTATCTGTAAACATGTATACGGTCTTCTTTTTTTTCCTATTTATTGAATATAAGCACAGAGCCAAAGAAAAATTTTGGAAGATGTAGGTGTCTCAAGACCAGAATGGAGTTATTCTGTTGGAGGGTGAGGTAAATAAAACAAGCATCCACTATGTTTAGGACAGAGCGGGAAGAGAAGGGAAGAGACTCACGCAGAAGACAAGTCAGCAAACAGTCCAGCATTGCTTGTTCTGGGCTCTAAAGAGGAGAAATAAAGAGGAATTTGAGATTTTCTTTTAGTTTGTCCAATCAAAGGCATCAAAATAGGACAAAGAAGAGAAATTTCATAACAAGGTCTGTCCTTGGAATAGAAAGCATGTGAAAAGCTTCAAGTCTGAAAAAGTGTTTGCCAGGTACTAAGGTAGGTTGAGTATTGTGATACCAGAAGCTATACAACCAGTATTTCAAATACCAGCAGGGTGATCCACGGTTAGCAGGTTTCATCAGAGATTTCAGACTAAAATAAACTAGACTACATATATTAAAATTCCCTCAATATATCTCTGAATGTTAGCCAATGAACCCTTAAGGATCACAAGAGAACACTGTCCAACGTGCTTGCTTTAGGCAAGTCATCAGGAGCTACCAATGGCTGGAGCAAGACAGGTTCGGTGGGGTAGAAGACCCACAAGGGTGAGAGGGTAAACCTTCAGTGAGATGGCTTGGCGAAAGAACCACCATAATGACTCCAGCTACCGGCTATTTTGAAGGTGATGAAGGACCAGACAACCTTTCACTCTGCTGTCTACGAGTCAGAATTCAGTGAGCCTGAGGCAGTGCTGTGATATGCTTATTTCTATAAAAAGAAGTGGGAATGGAAATTAGCAAGAGATCACTTCTACGGGGCTTTGGAGCGCTTCCTGGAGTAAACCAAGTTTCTTCCCTCTGTCAGTATTCTTTCTCAGGATTCTCTCAGTTCAGTAGAACTGTGTTCTGTTCCTGTTGCAGCTACCTATAGCCCTGTATCTAAAGTGAACTTGGGAATGGAGACCAGTGTTCTTGTCTCTGTTGTGAGCCTGAAAACCTTCCGTATGTCAGTGTTTGTGGTAGTGTGAAACATAATTTTGTGTCAACATGAAAATGTGGAAGTGTAGGGGTGGAGTCTAGCCTGTCAATCAGGTCACAACAGCCTGATGGTGCCTCCTTGTGGGCATGACCTTCTCATAAGGGCATTCCTGGGAACCTCTCCCTCTCTCTCTGCCTTCACCTTCATGCCAGTGAGCCATGCTGAGACCTGCACAAGCCCTGTGAATGGGCCACTGCCATTGGACCCATGCAGCCCTACACCCACCGGCCTGTGATCTTCCTGCATTCTGCATCACTGCTTGTGGCTGCACGAGTCTGGAGAGGGATTTATGGACTAGTAATAGGACTTATGGACTTGATCTGGACTGGGCTGCAATGTTTTCCTGATATACATTTACTCCTTAATATAAAGCTTTTTCTCATACACATGTGAATGTCTCTGGATTTATCTCTCTAGACAGCCTGGCCTAACACGGTGTTAAACCCCATTTCCCCAGCTACTTTCTGTGAGAATCTCTCCAAAGTTATTGTAGGTCAGGGGCTGGGGTGGTGATGGTACTACAGGTAAGAATTTTTAGAATTCTGCAGGTGTATATTCATATTTTCCCCTGATACTACTTCTAGCTACCCCCATCTCTCAGTTAGTAAGACAGAGATGCTGCCATGATGCGGGAAGCTATGCCCCCATTATTCCAAACACCAACAGAGGTCACCACAGTTGACAGGTTTCAGGAAGGTTTCCAGACTAAGGTAGACTAGGGAGAAAGGTCAGAAGACCTACTTCTGAAAATTAACTAGTGAAAACCTCAATGAGTCACAAGAGAATATGGTGGTGAATGAGCCCTCTAGGTGGAAGAATTCAAAGCACAGAGACCCAGTGATGGTTAGGGATTACATCAACTAGATGCTCCCGACTAGAGTGGAGTTCAGCCTGTCAATCAAGTGGTAGCTTGATGATAACTCCTTGGTGGTATGGCCTTTTGTAAAAGAGAAAGATCCTACAGAGATGATTCTCCTTTGCCACTTTACCTTCCTCCTTGCTGGGACTTCACTGAGGACTCTGGGTCTGCCTCCAGGGACAGCCCCATTTGGCCACTCCACCAGGAGAGCTGTGGACGCCCTGTCATGCTTCTACCCAACTTGGATCCAAGTGTCTCGGCATCCCATGGCCTGTGATCTCTCCGCTTTCTTCTCACCTTTCAGCATCATCAGCCTGTCAATACGTGAGTCTCTAGAGGGTACCCCTAGTATTGGCTCTATGGACTTAAGTTGCACTGGGCTGAGGTGGCTTCTTGATGCAAAGTTGCATCTTAATATAATTCCTGGTGCATAGATGCACGTCACTGGTTTGTTTCTCTGGACACTCGGCCTATCACAGTGGACTTGAGCATGTCAACAGTGCTGGAGGTCAGGCAGGACAGGGCTGTTGCTCGTGAAGTCACCAAGAGCCAGAGTTCACTTAAACAGCAACGAATGGCACCTTCAAGAGGCACAGATGAGGTGGGTCTGGCACTCCTGCAGACTGCATTGGCACAGCCATGTCCTCTGTCCGATGCTGGGAAACGGACTCCTGTTCTTTCTGCATGATTCGTTGCTGGCGAACCTTGATCCCAACCTCCTTGCCTAGAATTGATCTTAGGACTTAGAGGAAATGTTTTTTCATTTCCATTTGTCACATGGTAAGCATTTAACATGTGAACACGGGTATGTGCAAACAGATAAAAGACTCCAAAAACCACCTAGAAACATGTACACACCAGTTTAAAAGCAGACGTTGTAGAAGAATGCAAAGCGAACAGAGACCTTCAAATGAAGCCATTCCCTACAAACTGAAGCTAGAGAGCATGATTTTTAAATTCCTTTATGAGATATCTTTACATTATGTGTGTGCCTAAGTCTAGGAGGAGGATGAATCCTACGAATACAAATACAAGAATTCGGGAGTGGAGGCAGGGATGGTCACTTCCATTCAGCAAAGGTGGCATGGGGAGCGCACTTGAGGAGACAGAATGGGACGCACAAAGGAGTGGAGGCAGGAGGGGCCAGAGGTGTTCCTGCCAGGACCCAGGACCGGCACTAACCTTGGGCTATGAAAGAGGTGAGATAAGGCACTGCAGAGCTGTTTAGGGTCAGATTCGGGCATGATTAAATCCCAGACCCATTTATGAGCACCTCCTCAGTCTCTCACCAACAGTGACAGTGCAGGGAAATGACAGGGCTGCTGCCCTCCCACAAACAGAGAAGCTGCTTGTTTTAATACCATGCAAAGGCCAGCTTTGAGAAAACTGTGCCTAGGCCTGAGACCCACATGTGCCTCACATGCATTCTATGCAGACAAGCCCTGAGCTACAAGCCATAGGGCAAAACTGACTAACACGACCCTGCTGCACATTTGAAGTATGAATGCTTTTCTTGCATGCCTATAGGCGTGTCCTGCGGCATGCAATTTAAAGATTAATTGGAACGTGGCATCATGGTCTATTGTTAAACTGCGCATTCTCCAAGGAGATGAAAGGGAAGGGGGTGGGGGGATGAATTCTGGAGCAAAGCCAAGTGCCTGTCATTTCCTTGAGACGCTCCTCAGCGTAACCACTGTACCTTGACTAAGTGAACCATCGCATCTGCAAAGAACACCATGTCCATGCCGGGGCCGCGGATGCTCTCATTATAGAGCTGCAGGAACATATTCAAACGCTCTTTCAGGTGATTAAAGGACACAATTGGCTCATAAATTTTGGGCATTTCAGCATCAGCCTCCTCAGATGTTTCGCCTGGGGTTGAGGAAGAAGAATCAATTAAACACCTTCAAAATTGTCAAACTTTACTCCTGTCTTCTACCCGAGTTAATACACTGATAGTCTTATAATTGTAAATATAATACTGATTTTCGCCAAGATGCCATCACATCACATTCAGATGGGGGGTGGGAGGCGTAGCTAGTAAAGGTCTATATGATCACACACAGTCTTCCTTGATTTTCTTTCTTTCTTTGTATGTCTGTCTCACTGCCCTTGAGTTGATGGTGACTCAGAGACTGAACTCTTTACAGGACTAGAAAGCCTCTTCTTTCTCCCTCAGAGTAGCTGCTGCTTTTGAAATGTTGACTAGCAGCTTAATGTGATTAGCAGCCTAATGTGTAACCACTATGCCAATATCAAAGGGGATCTATATAGTATCAAATGGAACCTATATAGGTTTCAGAAGCCAAATTTTTTTACCAGAGCAAAAAGCCTCATCTTTCTCCCTCAGAGTGGCTGGTAGGATTTTGCAGTTAACAGACCCAAGAGTGCCACCGGTATTTAAGAGGAAATAAAGAATATCTACCCTGCTTGTCTTATAAAAATACTCTTAGCTTTATAGGATTTGTGTGTATGAGAGAGCGAGAAAAGGTTTACAATAAAATGTGTCAGCATTTTTTCCTGCAAAAAAATCATTCCCACTGCATAGCCATCAAGAAACCTTATTCGATAATCATTCGGAACTGTGCTATCACACACATATCATTACCAGCTCCACGAAGGAACTGACTGGTTATCTCCAACAATTTTCAAGACATTCACAATGTGTTTATAAACAGGCCCTCTGGACACAAACAAAAGAGAAATGTATCTTCAGTTCTGACCCACAGCCGTTGAGTCAATCTGACTCAGAAAAGTATTTGTGATGAAGAAGTAATTGGTCTTCCAAAACTCTGTCATCTGATCTCCATCGTCATTTCAATCCCCAAGACCATATTTTCCAATTACTGTACCTTCCTCTTTGTTTCCAATTTTT